CGCAGTCCGCCGGATGGTAAGTGGTTGCTGTGGCCTATAGACATCTACATCTATCCTTGATTATGAATCAAAATGCAGATGCGTTGTCACCCGTGAGGATTAAGATGGAATGCCCCATTCCCAGTAAAAAGGGTCTTCGGTTCTTTACACCCACCATACGGAACACAGTTGAATTAAGCTGCTGTTTAACGCTTGTATTCTGTGAGGGCGTATTCATAGCCCCGTCGAACCGATCCATTCGTGCTCCAACCATAATATCGCTGTATCGTGGTTTGACTCTTTTCGATAAACCCTACCACATATAAACAATATAAACGTAGTAGGGAATATCGTGATCCCCTTCACTCGTTTGTGCAGTATAAAGTTTAATGTAAGCGTCGTGGGCGAGAGAGATACCGCTAAAGTCATTATTCGAGTGAAGTGTAGGATTAGTAAAGTGACAGAGTCGTGGTTAGGTTCGTTGTGGCAGACAGGGAGGATGTTGTTGCTAAAGGGGACTAGCACTGAGATGTGTAATGTCATTGTTGGTTTGCATACTCAGGTGTTATCATGTAACTACGACTGGTCAAAGATACGCTGTTATTCTCCTAGCTATGTGTACGACGGGGTATATGGGATACCAGGTAGAGAGCCAGTATTCCGGTTCACGTTATCATATGAGATCATGGCTGGTCGAAGGGGCGTTGTCAATCTCGTAGTTAGAATACGTGGTAGAGCCACGCTGCAGCTATATATTGGGTTTAACACGAATGGCTCGGCTTAACCGGGAAAGGACCATGCTCTTACCAGAATACCAGCGTAAAATAGCAGCTTAATACTGTTGTGTTTCGTTTGGTGAGTGTAGAGATCCGGAGACCCTTTTTACTGGAAACTATACATTCCATCTTAGTCCTAAGGGGTGACAACCTACGTTGTGTTACTTAATTGAGGATAAATATAGAATGTATATGGGCCACAGCATCCACTTACCACCAGGTGAACTATGTGCAACTCTGAGCGAGAGGTCAATCTACGGATTCAACTCGGCTAGGCAGCGTTCGAGTAATTAGGACACATCTTCTTGTCAGATATATCTCAAAACTTGAAAACGAGATTGTACAAACATTGCGTGTTGCGAGTGATTACTTATGGCTTTGAGACATAGTCGTTCACTGCTCGCCGTATAAGGAAGCTCAAGGTCGCTCAGCGAGCTGTGGAGGAGCCTATGCTTGGGGTTTCTCTGCATGATAAACTTGAAATGAGAATGTCCGCAGGAGAACTGGAGTGACCGACATAGCCAAACGAATCAATTAACTGAAGCAATGGGCCGGCCATATAGCTCGAGAAGCGGGAGTGGCAGCCTCGTACCGGTAAGCGATGTGTTGGACGACCTCTCTCTAGATGAAGTAACGGCCTGGTGAAACACGCAGGGAGTCCATGGATGCAGATGACTATGGACCATAATTTGGGGCAGGCCTATATTCAGCAGTGGACTTGTGTAGGGCTGTAATGATGATGATAAATATTGTTGTATACGCATGCTTGTTCTATGCAAAAATTGTATTTAACCTCGTACGGAACCCGTATAATAACGTTTTACACTTTAAAATGCTGCCGTATGCTACGTATGACTGTAGTGCGGTTACAGAGTAACCGAAGCCGTTACACCTATCAAAAGACCTGCCCTATAGATTTCTTCATATGGGAGATTCTGCCTTAGTTGGCACGCTGGATAGATGAGTTTTAACTACTAACATGAACTTTACACTGCACAAATGACGGGGGGGGGGGATAATCTCGTTATACTCTACCATATTTATACGTGATAGGGTTTATCGAGAAGAGTAGATATGATGGTTGAAGAACGAATGGATCGGTCGTAAAACAGCAGCTTAATGGTACTGTGTCTCGTATAGTGAGCGTAGAGAACCGGAGACCCTTTTTATTGGAAATGAGGCATACAGTCTTAGTCCTCAGGGGTGACAACGCTTTGCATATTGATTCTTAATCGAGGATAGATGTAGATGTATATCCACAGCATCCACTCACCATCAGGACTGTGTGCTCGCCTGTCACCCTCTTCTATAAAAACATAAAATAAATACATACATACATACATAAACACTCACGCCTGTCACTACCCGGAGCGTCGATTCTTCACATCAGCTATATTTACATTTACAGCAGTCTGTGAACACGTACAGGATCGCCCCCGTCACTACATCAGATTTGATAGACCGCAGATCCTCGCTAAAGAACACCGATTCCTTCCAAGGTTGATTCGCGAGGCTATTGAAATCAAAAAACATCCTAATTTCAATAGAGAAGATGGCTGGGTGCTACCATCTGCTTGGGATCCTATAATAAATAAAATTAAATCCCAACCCAAGCATACAACTGCAAGACTTCAAGATACCATAAGTTCATACTGCATAGATCGGAACAAAAGTTAAATTTTAATCTATGGTAACCGCGGTTAACTATGACATATGGACGTTTAACATCTCAGTCCTGCCCGTGACCATGAGAGCTGTAAAGCGTTCGAAACGTCGGGTATTTAAAAAGTTAAATATACGCGATAAATTCCGTAAAAACTAATATTATTTCAATGTGTAGTGTTCGCGTAAATATAAGAAATCATTAGACAATTTCTTACCCTGTCATTCAGATTCGGCCCTAACATACTCCTTAACGACCGCATTTCTACTGCGTAGGAACCAACAGAGCATTGTGACTTTCCATACGTGCCTTATTCGACACATTTTGACTCTTCACAATAGAGACATAAAATAAACAATCATCAAAACCTATAAGGTACAGCCCGTGAGCTTAGAATTATGAAATTTAGTAAAAAGCAATGTCCAAAAACAGCCCTAGTAAAGGAATAAAACTGAAAGCCATTAATTTTTAATTTGAATAAATAAAAAAAATCTGCAATTTTAAACTTACATTTACAGGTCAAATCATCAACAGTGACGTAAATCGATGTATGGGAAAACATTTTTTCATTGAAAAGTTAAGTTTGTCTTACAATCATAATACAATAAAATGAGTTACCTTTTCATAAGATCGTTATAACATTATTATAATATGTAGGTGATAACAGATATATGATTTTCATAAAAATATGAGAAAACTATTACAGTTTATATACAGCTTAAATACGACCTATCCTTAGCCTCCATGCCTCTTCTCGTTCCTGAGGAAACAAATCTTTGAAAAAAAATTGAGTAGAGTCAAATGTGTATTGGCAGATTTCATATGTCTCCTAAATATTTTTTATTTATTTACATTGAAGTAACATGTACTTACGTACATAATAACTCAATGTTTATTTATCGGACTTTCAGCTTTCCTCGCAATGGTTTCGTTCCCCATCAAGCAGGTGGTAAATCAACATGTAAGACTACAATTAATGATTTGTAACTGACTGTGACGAAGCAGTGTTGGTCGCTTATTGTGAAATCTACAGTGAGCACTAAGAGCAACGAGCTATCAAAATATTGTGACTGTGTAGTTTATACATTTGACTTGTGTTATTTATGATCTTGAGTGTATGATCCTATTTGATAACATGCTGACGAAAATGAACATTTATAACCTCAAAACAGGTAATAGAAAATCTCCTCAATAGAAAATCGTTGTCACAAAATTTTCTATTAATCTGTATACTTTGAAATACTTGAAGTCAATTTTAATCCAGTTGCAGACATGTTTTTAAAGAAATTCTCTCCATTTTACACCCAAAGACACTGACCAAAATACTTCTTCAGTTTACCTTTTTTTTTACAAAAGCCATGATTATAGCGGTGGCTTAAGCGGTACGATACAAAACTATATCGTCGTCCATCTTTATAAATATAAAAATTCTATGATCATACAGTGTAATAAGCATGTTTGACTGATAGCTGTCACAGACTATATGAGAGTTATCGACGTCATTTTTTATAGCATTGGGTGACTAAGGAGCACACAGTCCACCTCATAGTAAGTGGATGCTGTGGCTAATAGACATCCTCATTTATTCTCAATAAAGAATCAAAATGGAAATGCTTTGTCACCCCAGAGGTCTAAGATGCAATGTCTCGATTCTAGTAAAAAGGGTCTCCGGTTCTCTACACTCATCATGCAAAATACAGCAGGTTTACGCCGGTATTCTGTGAGAGCGTGGTCCTGCCCCGATCAAGCCGAAACATTCATGCTGCAGCTATAATATAGCTACAGCACGTTGCAGCTATAGAACAGCGTGGCTTTACATGGTAGATTTGTACCATGTAAAGCCACGCTGTATTCTATAAAGACAATATGATTAACTATTGGCGGTCTAAGACCAAAGTTCAGTGCTTATCCCTATAATTTACAAACTTCAGTAACTCATTAAAATAATGAGAAAGTGTATTCAAGTAAGTCCAGTAAAGAGTCCCATTCACTCTTGTCCGCTTTTTCCACAGATTAACGGAATTCATAAGATGCCGCGTTGTGAAAATTTTATGTTTACATTTTTTATAAGAGAATGATGAAATAACGTAGCCCATAGACACTTCAATTAACTCTCGATACAGAAGAAAAATATAGTTTCGTATGCTGATGTTGACGTTGTCACCACTAAGGATTAAGAAGCAATGCCATGATACTAGTGAAAAAAGTATCATGTTCTTTAAACAAAAACCATACGAAATACAGCAACATTAAGCTGATGTTTTACGTTGGTATTCTCTGAGGCCATGGTTATTCCATGCTCTAGCCAGCCACTCATTCGTGCTGCAAACATAGTATAGCTGCATTGTGGCTCTACCACTTTAAAATATAAACTGTAAATTTCTTTTTTCGTACTATGAAACAGTGTCATTTAACTCACACTTAAACTCGAGAAACAGACGTATTTAATTGTGATCAGTATAGTCCACAATCAATAAAACGGTAAAAATAAAGGACAAGTAATTTTAATAAACTATTATTTCTACAAAAATAATTGCAATAAATTATATAACTAATTCAAAGTTGTCGGTCAGAATAGTCACTTAATGATGAGCCAGATAATGTGCGGGGGCTGAAACAACGTGTTTAGCGGGCGCGGAGTGACTGACTACAGCGTTGAAGCCGTTGTGGTCGTCAGCGGTGTACTGCACGCTGCGTACTGAGCCATCAGCTTCAAGCAGCGAGTACTCGCCGTGCACAGCATCACCATCGCGGCTCTCGTGTTGGGACTTGTTGTCGCCAGTGTGTCCATCGGCCACGGAGTATGCGAAGTCGTATTTAGGATGAGCCTAGAATTAAAAATACGTAGTTAAGTACTACTTAGTACGACTAAGCTTACATTATTAAATATTTGGTCTTATTTTTGTCTTGTTGTAATGGTTATATAATTTACTTACGTATTCCTCGTGTTGTGCGGTGGCAACAAGCTTGGTCACGGGAGCAGCATGGCTGATGATAGGCGCGGCGTAGTGCGCTGGTGCTGCGTAGGATACAGGAGCAAATCCGATTGCGGCATGGGGCTGATCGTGACGCAAGATTGTTTGAGAGGACACAGCATGGCCGGCAAACACGGCACAAAATTGTCAATTAATCTGTATACTTTGAAACACTTGAAGTCAATTCACGCAGACACGTTTTTAAAGAAATTATCTCCATTTTTCACCCAAAGACGTCGACCAAAATACTTCTTCAGTTTACCTTTTTTTTTACAAAAGCCATAATTATAGTAGTAAATGTGATAATTCTATTTTCATACAGTGTAATAACGTCGTATTTTTTTATAGTTTGGGTGACTAAGGGGCACACAGTTCACCTGATGGTAAGTGGATGTTGTGGCTAATAAACATCCTCATTTATCCTCAGTGAAGGATCGAAATGCAAATGCTTTGTCACCCCAGAGGGCTAAGATGGAATGCCTCGATTCTAGTAAAAAGGGTCTCCAGTTCTTTACACCACATGCGAAATACAGCAGTATTACGCCGGTATTCTGTGACAGCGTGGTCCTGCCCCGATCAAGCCGACCCATTCATGCTACAGCTATAATATAGCTATAGCTATAATACAGCTATATTACGCTGCAGCTATAGTACAGCGTGGCTTTACATAGTAGAGTTGTACCATGTAAAGCCACGCTATATTCTATAAAGACAATATGATAAACTATGGGCGGCTTCAACCAAAATTCGGTGCTTACTTCTATAATTTAGAAATTTCAGTGACTTATTAAAATAATGAGGAAGTGTATTCGAGTAAGTAGAGTAGAGTCCCACTCACTTTTGTCCGCTTTTTCCACAGATTAACGGAATTCATAAGATGCTGCGTTGTGAATTTTTTTATGTTTACATTTAGCCCATAGATACTTCTAGTAACTCTCGATTCAGAAGAAAAATATAGTTGCGTATGCTGATGTTTTACGTTGTCACCACTAAGGATTAAGAAACAATGCCATGTTACTAGTGAAAAAAGTATCATGTTCTTTAAACAAAAACCATACGAAATACAGCAACATTAAGCTGATGTTTTACGTTGGTATTCTCTGAGGCCATGGTTATTCCATGCTCTAGCCAGCCACTCATTCGTGCTGCAAACATAGTATAGCTGCATTGTGGCTCTACCACTTTAAAATATAAACTGTAAATTTCTTTTTTCGTACTATAAAACAGTGTCATTTTACTTAAATTCGAGAATTAGACGTATTTAATTGTGATCAGTATAGTCCATAATAAATAAAACGGTGAAAATATAGAACAAGTAATTTTAATAAACTATTATTTCTACAAAAATAATTGCAATAAATTATATAACTAATTCAAAGTTGTCGGTCAGAATCGTCACTTAATGATGAGCCAGATAATGTGCGGGGGCTGAAACAACGTGTTTCGCGGGCGCGGAGTGACTGACTACAGCGTTGAAGCCGTTGTGGTCGTCAGCGGTGTACTGCACGCTGCGTACTGAGCCATCAGCTTCAAGCAGCGAGTACTCGCCGTGCACAGCATCACCATCGCGGCTCTCGTGTTGGGACTTGTTGTCGCCAGTGTGTCCATCGGCCACGGAGTATGCGAAGTCGTATTTAGGATGAGCCTAGAATTAAAAATACGTGGTTAAGTACTACTTAGTACGACTAAGCTTACCTTTAAATATTTGTTGTTATTTTTATTTTTTTGTAATAGTTATACAATTTACTTACGTATTCCTCGTGTTGTGCGGTGGCAACAAGCTTGGTCACGGGAGCAGCATGGCTGATGATAGGCGCGGCGTAGTGCGCTGGTGCTGCTGCGTAGGATACAGGAGCAAATCCGATTGCGGCATGGGGCTGATCATGACGCAAGATTGTTTGAGAGGACACAGCATGGCCGGCGGAATAACGGGCGGGAGCCGCATAAGTGGCAACTGGACCAGCGTTGTAGGCGAGAGGGGCGGCATGTATGGCGATGGGTGCAGAGTGAATAGCCTGAGGTTGGTCGTGACGCACGATGCTCTGTGAGGAGACAGCTGCCGCTGATGAGTAGTGTTGCTGAGGCAAGAGCCCTGCCGCAGACACTGCCAAAACGGCACTCAATGCTAAAATCTGTAACAATTTAGAAACTTCGTCATTGTTTGATAGTATAAGAAAGTAAAATCAATATAATATACAGAGATAGTATAAACAGTAAAATGCTACGCTCTTCTATATCATAGATAATAAAGTTTTATCAACTCTTTACAAAAATAGTACCATGATGTTTATATCTCTATATTTTATTAAAAAGTAGACTCTTACTTTTGAGAACATGTTTATTCCACGTTAACAGTGAAACTGTAATTGTTAACTAATAAAATGTGTAAGTGTCGCCGAGCTTTTATACTGATTGAATTTCTGCAGTGGCAAGGTTGTCAGGTCAAAAGTTGTTTTGAATGGTTTGTCTTTGGCTTAAGTATGGTTGTATTAAATTTTACACTATTTATAGCCCAATGAAATTGCTGTTTCTTGAAAACATGAACTAAATGTAAATACTATCAGTGAAATATTAAATATTAATTAGCTCCAATTATTTAAAATAGATAAAACTAAGATAAATATTTTAGGTACGTACTACGTGAATTTCATAATATTTATTGATATGGAAATTATCCTCACCTATCCTCAACTATATTTCAACTATTTTTCAGTGTAAGCGCAATGGAGTTATAACGCCTAGTTTTATAAAACATTTGTACTTCTGTTAGAATAACCATAATCCAATAAATCCCGATTTCTGGACATGTAGTAAAAGATTCAGCCAAATATCAGTAAAAAGTGTGCATCGACAGAATATTTAAAATATATTTTTAAATATTATGTTTACCTGGGACTGTGGAAATAAGAAGCTGTTGACCATACGAGACATAATATATGCGCAAACTTAACAAGAATCGATATATTATTAAGTAAGATAATATCTGAGTTCTGAATCAAAAAAAATACTAATTTTCGGCAGCGACAATGTTGTCAGGTCAAAAATTGTTTTAAATGATTTTTATCTTTTGGTGTAATTAAATATAGTTTACACCAATTTTAACACAATTTAAATTGCAGAAAAATTTAGATTCATTTAAATAAAATTTCTCAATGTAAAATTACCTAACGTACCATATCTTCGAATTATATTTTAACAAATTTTCGTTATGCAGTAAATTAAATGGTAAAACGATTTATCCTTTGTGGAAGCGTTAGTGAGTTATAAAGAAATTATAATACATTTTTGTGCTGATTTTTTTTATAGGATATGGTGACAAACGAGCACAGAGTCCACCTGATGATAAGTGGTTGCTGCGGCCCATAGACATCTACATGTATCCGTTGTCACCCGTAAGGACTAAGATGGAATGCCTCGTTTCCAGTAAAAAGTCTCCGATTCTCTACACTCACCATACGAAATACAGCAGCATTATGCAACTATTTCACGCTGGTATTCTGTGAGAGCGTGGTCCTTCCCCGGTTGAGCCGATTTGCCATTTGTGCTACAACTATACTACTAATATAATTGCAGCATGGCTCTACCACGTATAAAATGATGTTAAAATAATAATATTCAATAATATAATAAATATTTGACTGCATTGTTACTTGTCGACTGGTGGTAAAAAAATTTTATGTTCCGGTTGGGACAAACAATTTTTCTGTCAAATCTAACTCTGAATTAAACAGGCCTTCAAATCTCAAGAGAGCGAGGCAACAGAAAGTGCACCTGTCCTTGCGCACATTCTCATGCACCATAACCCTGTTCTGCGCACATGAAGCGCCGTGACCGAAACTAGGTCTGAAGGACTTACTTACTACTTACTTACTGAAGGATTACTACGATCAAATTAAATGAAAATCGTAATCTAAATATCCTTATACCAAAGGAAGATAATGAATGCGCGTACATAACACATATTAAACTCATACTGAATTGTTAGTATAAGTAACATTTTAAAAACCAACAGTTGTGAAACGATTTGATGTCCGCCCGCGTAGGTATTTTTACCACATACGCCGTCGTCGCAAATATGCTAGGGGTTGTTACGAAATTGGGAATAAAGTAATTTTGAACACTATAATACTCATTATTATTAAAATTATGTCTATACTTATTTGTTAAAATATATATTGAACAAGCTAGTTTTTATAACTATAAGATATATATATATATATATATAAAAAAAAAAAAAAAAAAAAATATATATATATATATATATATATATAATGGTGTGTGTGTGTGTGTGTGTGTCGCACTGTCAAATATTTTCGTGACACTTTCTTTTTATAGCTGTTTTCAGTTTACGATTGTTAAATTTAATTATGTAGTGTAGACGTATTCAGATGAACAACTTTATTCAAAAAAATGAAAGAAAAATGCTTATGTTACCCTCATTTCTTTTTTACACAGCATCTATTTGCCGCCGATATAGTCCTTATGGCAGAATCGCTGGAGGACCTAAACACTATGCTCAAAGACCTCAATAGTGCCTCCCAACGGATCGATCTTAAGATGAACATGGACAAAACAAAGATCATGTGAAATGTTGATGGCACACCTATGCTGGTTGTTGTTGGGAGCACTAATCTCGAAGGTGTTGACGAGTATGTTGTATTCAACTCGTCTTGGCAGCGTTCGGGAAATTAGGAAACATCTTCTCGTCAGGTATATCTCAAAACTTGAAAACGAGATTGTACAACCAGCGCGTGTTGCGAGTGATGATTTATGGATTTGAGACGTGGTCGTTCACGGCTGGCCAAATGAGGAAGCTCAAGGTTGCACAGCGAACTATGATGGGGTCTATGCTCGAGGCTTCTCTGCGTGATAAACTTGAAATGAGGATATCCGTAGGAGAATCAGAGTGACCGACCTAGTCAAGCGGATAATGTATGGTTTGATCATGTAGAAAGAATGAATGAGGAAAGAGTGACAAAGCAAATTTATATGGCAGATGTGAACGGCAGAGTAGTCTCTGCCTAACCCTCTGGGTGACGGGCATGAGTGTTTATGTTTATGTATGTATATATACCTCCGAACTTATCCCAGAGGCAGAG